ACCCCACCTAAGAGTCAAAAAAAGAACCCAAGCCTTCCTTTCAAAATGGATTTGCCTATCTTCTTCCAAGAATCCAACGCAAAATTGTCCCCAAAACTGTACTACATTTGCTTACATCCTCTACTCCTAAAAGCTGCAAAAAATGAGACAAAGGTATTACAAACAATAGAAGTCAAACAATAACTTAAATAGCAAAGCCAAGCACTCAAAATGTAAGAAACATCAGATTTGTTTGCTGTGCAACATCAATTGTGTGCCTTGATTGCCTAGCTGAAACTTTTATCTGTGTGCATTTATCATGCAAAGACTGTAACACACTGCACATGTACAGAAGAGATTAATGTAGGATGAACAGGAAGTTATGTATCTTAATCCTTCTGAACTTTTGTGTTTGGCACTGCAATCAAATTTTTTTTTTTTTTTAAGTTGGGAAGGGAAGAGGGATGGCTGTATCAGTTCCCTACAAAGGTAAATAATTTGACTTCTGAACCTTCAGCAATGCAACATGTAAGGATAAAGCCACTGTCTTCAAGGAAAGCATTATCCTAAGCCCATATACTAAATCCTAAGGGAAAACAGACTATACTTTCTCTATTTCAGCAGCTTCCACCGTTCCTAGAGAAAGGTGGCTCCTTCCTCACATGCTGTCCTGGATCTAAGCCCATCTACTGAAGCTAGAGGAATTTTCATGGGAAACCTGATTTTGTTTTCCTCCCAAATAACTGGGAGAAGATGTATCAAATGATGGCCCTGGGATATGGGAAGAAAATCTTGTTATACTACTGGACTGCAGAAGCAGTTTAGAATCTGGATAGTGCTGTATGTACCGATCAAGTCAATCTCATTTAAGAATATTTAAAACATTTCCTTATTTTCCCCTGTCCTTTTTTGACAGTGAAGAAGAAATTACTTAGCTGTCGAGAGGAGAGATTCAAAGAGCTTTCAAATTTAGATGAACACTTTGGTAATTTTTCAGATTATTTTTCTTGTAATTTTTAAAAAGGTAATTCATAATTCATTTTATATTCTCAAGTTATCACTCTCAACACTTCTTAATGACTTGCCAAGAGTTACTGCCAGCTTTTGCAATTTCTTTGGTGCATTATTTAATAACCTGTGTTTTACATCTAACTACATAGCTCATAACACACTTCCTTAACACAATAATTATTTAAAGTGTATATACAAATTAACTATAACAATGAAAACAATCACTTAGCTGAGTAACTTGTCACACTTGACACTGGCTAAAAATTAGGACAATCTGAAGAAAAGCAACCATAATACCTATGAACCATGAAAGCTACGGCTTTTCTGAGACAGATCATACATTCTTCGTAGTAGGATACTATCTCCTAGAATGCTTATGGTAGACTGCAAATTTCCACCTGCATAGACTTTCTACATCGGTAAAAGTAGAGTAAAACACAAACTCAGTGACTGAAGTACATCACTAAATTCTACATATTTAAAGCATCTTGCATTTTAATCCAAATAAAGCTATCTTAAAATAATTTAATAAAAACATAGTAGTAAATTTAATGAGCTCTGCACAGTAAAATAACAATCATTCCACTACCATATTGGAGAGAGAGGTATGATGTTCTAGAGGTTAAAACCACATAGCCTGCAATGTTCATCAATCTGGCAAAATATTTCACAGGACTCAAGCAATTAATGTTTATATTCTGTCTGTCTTGAGCTAATGGCACACACAATTTTTCTGTGTTTCAGTCACAGTGGAGGCTAGGACTCTTGAGTATTATACTTTAAGGACATAAAAACATAAGACACTATTTTCCACACATTTTAAATTTCTACTGAAAATTTTAATTGACAGAATTTAGCTTTCTGACACATCAGAATTTGATTCTGAAAGGAAAAAGTTTAATTATAAACTCACTGAAAAAATTATTTTTCAGTACACACAATTTCCTGTATTTTAGAACTTGATCCTTTTTCTTGATTAATCATAATGGCTACTCAAACAAATACAGTGGAGGAGGACTCTTGAGTATTATACTTTAAGGACATAAAAACATAAGACACTATTTTCCACACATTTTAAATTTCTACTGAAAATTTTAATTGACAGAATTTAGCTTTCTGACACATCAGAATTTGATTCTGAAAGGAAAAAGTTTAATTATAAACTCACTGAAAAAATTATTTTTCAGTACACACAATTTCCTGTATTTTAGAACTTGATCCTTTTTCTTGATTAATCATAATGGCTACTCAAACAAATAACTGACACTTCTAAAACCTTAGCATAATATTTGTCATTGGACATTTCCCCCAGAAAACCGATGAACAGTCTCTGGCTATAAACCATCCACCTAATGAAACAGAAGTCTAGTATCTAGTTCTGATATGATGAACCTTCAGAATTCTAAACCTTTACAATCTGGTTTTAAAAGGCTGTCAACCATCATTTTTAAGGAACACTCTAAGGTCAAACATATCTAAAACATAAGCACTGTAAAAATAAAAGAAGAGTCTGCAGACCACATGCAGAGTCATGGAAGTTCAATGTACATTTCCCAAGGACAATATTAATTATTTCTTATCCTTGTTAATTACAACAAATAAAGAAGTGATGCAGTACAGTTTGGGCAGCTACTTCAAAGATCCATCAAAGGAGATGAATCCTGACAAGCTACAATACCATGATTCTAATCCTGCCACACTAAAATAATCAAACTTTTGCATCCTGTAAGACGTTTATCATTCATAAGGCCTTGCTGGTTTCCTCTATTCTCAACCAGCTTATTAGCACTAACAAGTGTAAAGGAATATCTATAATGCGGTGGGGTATTTATCTGGGCAGAACTGCACAAAAACAATTACATCTTTCTAATACCTGAACTCCTTCAGATTTTAGGTACCTCTACAAACACATGAACATGCAGTATCCTCACAGGTTTATTTTTATATAAATCCAGCAAGTCAGATTATACTCTTTCTGCAACCTTAACTGCTTCATATAACTAAAGAACAGCTGCCTGAGGCCAACATGATCAACTCCCAACATTTGCTATGCACACATCTTAAGGTTGACTTTGGGATCCAAACTCCAGTCTTTTAATAAAGACTGAACACACACAGCCAAGCAGTTGGTCTACATTTTTGTATGCTTCCTAAGATTCTATGTACAATAAAGGTGGATTCCTCAAACATTTTCGAACTACAGACAATTTGTTATTATTTAATTCGCTATCAATGTTGCCACTCTGAATTTTAATTCTGTATGCTGGCCACAGCAGTTAAAGTTACATGAAAACTAACAGTATGAAACAGAAACAGCTAAAACGAACTCATTCTAACAGACTGAGATCATATTCTTGGTACAGTCCCACCCCACAATTTCTGTTTTGCATTTATGCTATGCACTTGTCTCAGGATCCATTGCTAGAATGTGTGCTATATAGTCCCTTGTATATATCCTTGTAGTCGCTGCTAAAGAACTGACTATTTATTTACAAAGAAAGACCCAAACAACCAAAGACAGACATACAAACTGAAGAACTTGTCTGGATTTTTGTTGTCATCAAACTAGTCAAAAAAATCTTGAAATTAACACAAGCTTATCTCTGTGCTTATTTTTCCTGAAACACATTTATCTTTGAAGGCTTCTACAAGTCTTCTCATCCTTCCAGATATCACAAATTTAAACATTAAATGGCTGCCTTCTCTGCGAAGAGTTCTTTTACGAATTCCATCCAATACTACACTTAGCTCTTTTTCTGAGAGCATTAAGTTCTTCAAGTGTTTCCAGGCTTTTATTTATGTCTTTCCTGAGATACATTCCATTGAGCTACAAACTTCCTAGTGACAGTCATTTCTAAAACTTACATTCTAGTTGGCTACCCTGTGTTTTAGATTGCCTCATGTTAGTAATTTATTTTCAAGGCTCCGATTTTATTCTGGCTTCCTTCTCTTCTGAAAAGTTTATCGTTGTTTTCAGTTTTGAATTAAACTTAATAATTTTTTAGACTATAAATATGGTGTAATTCCCAAAGCATATAATGCGACAGTAATCAAATGTTAAACATCGGGAAATACACGTTTAAGTTATTTCAAGCAACCTATACAACGATTAGTTAAAAAATTATAAAGACATCCTCTTCATCTACTTCCACTCGTAATTACTTATCACTTCTGCAAACAAAGACCTTAGGCAAAACTACCTTAAACTATTATTATTATGGCACAGCTGCCCTGTACTAACATCCAAAGCTGTTTGCCTCTACATTTTAGTAAGATAGTTCAGCTCTAGCCCCAAACGGCCAGAAGCTAAACAGCCTCCCTACAAAATTTTAAACCAATACAGCCTACCAAGGAATTTAAAAAACAATACACCTTCACCCTTGAAAATAAATCAGTTCTGAGTTGAAATAAACACACTCCACTGAAGAGTTTGGGGTAGGAAAGCACACTATCCTGTCAATCCATATAAAAAAGGAAATGTAGTCATAACACAGACAAAACTTTAAGTATAGACAGATCACACCCAGCGGTGAATCAAAGGAATCAAACCTTTCTTTTGAATAACGTATATTAGAAAAGTTAATTATTGCAAATCCTTGTATTGAATGTGCTTGGCTTTTCCTTTTCTAATTTCTAGTGAAATCTAGCTATCCTGTGCATCCATTCAGCATGCGGGGATATCACAATGCTTCTGATTCAGAGGAACAAGGGGCGCTTACTGAACCAGTGGCATACAATCCAAACTAAGTTCTGGCTAAGACTGAGCCTCCTAGCCTCCAATGATCTCACAGTCTGAACAAGGTCTTGAGAGACTCTATAAAGTAGATTTTTTCTGAAATACAAAAAAAATTCCTAGGCCTCAGAAAATAAACTGCATTTGAATAAGTATTTCCTGTTTTCACAACAAAAAAGGGGAGGAAAGCACATTCGCAAAAACATATGAGTTAATAATGTTTAGCTAAAGCTAAAACATAATGCACAAAAGTAAAGTGAAATCAAGCCAAACATACCTGAGTTGTTGATAGGCGAAAAACAGGGCCAGCTGTGGGCACTGAAAGTCTAGGTGAAATGCTGGTAGGACCTTGTCCCTGCGTTTGTACTTGAGCCTGCATTTGAGCCTGTGCTAGAGCCTGCTGAGGCACCATTACAAGCTGTCCAGCATCCGTGCGCACCAAGACCATACCTAATAAGAAGAAAGTAACAATAACTATAGAATAAAGAATAATATGAAGAATTATATATAAAGAACTATCTAACTACAGAATACAGAATAAAATTAAGGCATAGCACTGTACATTTTTCTTTATACTGTATCTTTTTTTTAATTCTGGTGTAACATGAGATTTTATTTCAAAGAAGAAAAGGAGCCCCTACTAGCAGACAAAAACTAATACCCAATTCAGTTTGGAATTCAAATAACTGCAGTTTATGGATAAGTGATGAAAAAAATGGCCACTTGAGTGTACAGGTGTACAGTGACTTTCAGCAGTCTAGCCAGGGTCAGCAGAATAAAATTAGAAAGAAATATTCGTTAAAAGTAAACTATAACGACAATCCAGTAGCTGAGAACAGAATTCAGTATGAACATACCAGGGACAATGACAGGAGGGCTTTACTAAAACAACAGCTTTAAGGGATGTATACATGCAAATGTTAGGCCAGACACATTTCTGAGTATACAATATTTGAGATTTACTTAATTGTTGAGCATTAACACATGGATTTATTTGGCATCCACCATCACTGTACTGGGAGGCACTACCTGTAGTTTAGACATCAAGAAAAAATATCATCATACCCTGAGAACCAATACAACTACTCCTCAGCACAAAATGATACAAGTGCAGATATTTTAGGAAAACACCAAAGGAATTGTTTTCAAATTAACAGAATACTTGGCAAGTGTTTCCTAACACTTTTTGGAAGTAAATGATAATACTTTCAGATTGTTTTCTAGTAGCGCATTTTCACAAATAGAGGCCTTCTACACAACACAGCCAGTACCATCAAATTTTGCCCTAAGTGTAACTGGCCTAAGTTTTCCACAATCAGCGAGATAGAAAAGGGAAGACAACAGTTAAGTTGGTCCCTGGATCATCTGGAGCTTCACACTTATTCAAGATCACTGCAAAGCATGTGATGTGCGTCCTCTAATTTTCTCAGAATTAAGAAGCAGTTCCCCAGCCAGATTATTTTACAAGAATTTCCAAGTTAGTTCCAGAATACATTTCAATAATTTAACCTAGATAGGATACACATAGGATACTGTGGGTCTGTAGACAGGAAAACATCTTGCCTGTAACTTCTGGAAAACCAAAAAATAAGGATCTAGGAAGTCAACTTTTATTCTATTGATAAAGTCAGTAGACGTTGTTTCTGCAACTTATCCCTATGTGCAAATTGCTTCATATATATTTTTTAACTTTTCAAGGGAAAATAAAGAAGGTAAAAGCTTACATCCACTTCTAATTATTGGCTTCCCAGAAAAAAAAACACCTCAGTAAATGGACATGGTTTGCAACATATCATGAGGATAAAGAAATTTGAACAGTATTGTATCAAGCAAGTAACAAATTTCAAAAGTACCTTATACCAGGAAAGTCTTTCTTTCAGTGTCTGACATAGAAATACAAATCCCAATCCTGGGATAAACAGTGAGTGAACTGCAGCACCAATAAAAGTCCTCACATAGTCTTAGGTGCTCCCAGCCAACCGTCACTGCTAAAAGCACAACGAGAAGGCAAATTTCTGCCACACAAACTAAAGACTTGTGGAAATCAAGCTTTAAGGCAAAAGGCATAGAGAGCTACAGGAAGGACCACATCTAAAAGACATGATCCTAACTCTCTTTCAAAGCCCAGAGAGTAATCTTTAAAACAAGAGTTGGAAAAAAGAAGAAACCCAAACCATAAAAATTCTTTAAAAAGATAGCATTTTACGCTCACTAGCCCTTCAAGCACCAAACCTCAGGGTTTATATTTGTAGAAAATTCTGTAAGCAGGTGATGTACTTGATATATGCCATTCCTAAACCATCTGGACACAAAAAAATTAGTACATTGCCCACTGGCCAAACAGGTATCATTTCTCTTATTATACTGTGAACCTTATATAAAAATCCTCATAGGATAATGCCTACCATGCATTAAAAAAAACACGCTCTATTGGCATTATACTGATTCACAGGTGTTTTCTTAATTTATCTTCCAATTTTCTAAAACTCATTCTGAATAAAAAAATTGAATGGAATGGACAAATTAATTGCAACACATGCCACACAGTTTCAATAAAAGTTGCAGACTTAATTACCACTATAGATGCATAAATGTTCACATACTAATGTTATGTTTTAATTCAGTTTGGAGGACTTTAAATTTCTTTTACTGAACAGTACGTACAAATTAGAATCTGGCTAAATTATGAGATTAATTTCTCCTTACTGTCAGCCACATAAAGATGAAATACACAACTTATGAGTATTATATGCTGAAATAACCTATTCTCAAAAACTGGTTCTAAATTTCTGCTTTAGACAGAAGTTTAAAATATGGGAGTTTCAAAATTAATTATAAATGATACAGTAATTTAAAGAGTAAAAACTCAAAAATAACATTGTATTTTCTGAATACCTTCATCTTTGAACATACTATCTTCATGTTTATGCAAATTTAATGGATTTCAAACTATCTTGTAATAAAATAAAATTGTAACTTTCCACAGTATTATTTCCATAACATTTTCTAAACCTTGGACCAGATCGCTTTTAAGAGCTCTGTTTTCCTCTTCTGTTTGAAAATTAAGTAGCAGAACAAAGTATTGACATAATAAACTTCAGAAACTGTATGCAGTTATGATGCACATTATCATATGTGTATATTAATTATCAAACAGATTAACAACACGAAATCAAAGGCTAAAGGCACTAATACAGCCTGAATAGCAACCTCTTATCTGCTTTAAGTTAGTTAGGTCTTGATGGAATCACTGAGCTTTATTTGGTTGGAGCATTAGAATTTGGAGCAGGAGTTTCATAAACTATGGCCAAAGACACAACTGCTAGAAGTCCACTTAGAAGCAAGCTTCTATACCATCACATTTTTGCTCCGCTTAGCTAATAAATATCAAATATTTTAAGAAACACAGTGGAAGAAATAAGTTACTTCAGACTACATCAATAGCTCCACATATTATCATGCTATTGATATTAATAGCAAAAAATAAAAAAATAATTCAAATGTTAAATCATCTCCTAAATCAAGAAGGCACAAAGTTACCAACTCTTTGCAACATGAAAATCTAAGTAGAGGACCACAGAACCCTTCAAAATTTCAGGTGAAACAATATACAGTTAGAGTAGGAATCATTGGGACGAAGGGACGTTGTTTTGGTTAGTTAGCAACCTTGCTGAACTTAAATTTTTAGTAATGAAAGTTAAGAAAAGGAGAATAGACAGGACACAACAGTTACTTCAGAGTTAGAAATAAAATCCGGAGATGTAGACTTCCCAGATGCGACAGAGAATGACACCATCACACTTACTGAAATCATAGAATCACTGAGGTTGGAAAAGACCTCTAAGATCATCGAGTCCAACTGTCGACCCAACACCACCACCCACTAAACCATGTCCCTAAGCGCCTCACCTACACGTCTTTTAAATACTTCCAGGGATGGGGACTCAACCACTTCCCTGGGCAGCCTGTTCCAATGTTTAACCACTCTTTCAGTAAAGAAATTTTTCCTCATGTCCAAAATGAAACATTTTAGATTAAATCACACAAATTAGCCTGTATTTGCCACCTGATTCTCGGCAAAAGACACTCTTTGAAGAAGGAAAACTTTTCAAAACTATCAAGAGTAAAGCAGAAAATATAGTCCTTCAAAACATATATAAAATTATTCTAACAGCCCAGCTTTTTATCTCGTGCACAACTGCTCACTACACCATTACAAAATAACTTACCGTGACTGCCGCTCTCTCCCTAAGACAAAACAAGTAACTCATCAACCAACAGTCATTATTACTTTGCATTAGCAACCGCCCGTCCCGTACCAATTACATCCTCATTAACGGCAGCCTGTTTGTCAGACGTCGCCCTCAGACAGGTGGCTCTTCTTTTGTTTCCAGCACGTCGAGCAGCTGGAAGACGACAACTTTGGGAAGAAAAAACCTCAGCCAAGAAAAAAGGGTTAGCAAGAGCGGCGAGCCCGCGACCACTGCGTTTCCACTTACCGGGCGGGATAGTGAAGCCGGGGGGCAGCTGGATGGTGGTCTGCTGATCACGATCAGCTGGGGGGCCACGATCCTGGGGGCTGCGCCCTGCGCCGGCCTGGGCGACAGGGCCTG